ATCACCATAGAAATATTGTATGTAATCACCATAGAAATATTGTATGTAACCACCATAAAATACCAAAGATAAAGCAGGTATGGCGTATGAGCCTAAAGCTTGCTTATGTTACATCTGATGCTTTTCAGGTAAAGGGTTAGGATTGTGTTTGTTAAGCTAATATCAAATACTGGGTAATCCAACAATCTAAAACACCTGAGATGTTAGTTTTTATGTTTTCTATACAAACCTAAAAACAAAGTTTGTTTCATAAGCATCCATTACTTAAAAAAAAAACTTAAACCATATATGGGAAAGCTCAAATATGGGAGGGATTCTTTAGACCATTATTTGACTGATGATAATAAAGAAGGCTAAAATACAACTATAAATGGATAATTTCTCTGTGATATGGTTATAAACGTTGTTCATATTAAGACCTCTAAGTGCTTTTATTTGGACACACGGTGTTCTGTCAGACCAGCATACCCATAGTCAATACCTGTTTATCTCTTTAGCTTGTTTCTTTCATTTTGTATTCGAAATAAACATTAAACTAACTCAATGGGCATGTTTCCCTTTAGTAATGTACAAAAAAAAAAATATTTAAGCACTTACTTTTTGGTGTTTTTTTTAAGCGTATGGGGATCTGACCTTAAATAGTTTTTTTGTAGATAGCTAAAGGGAAACACACCCATTAAGGTATTTTAAAGTCTATTTTTCGTACAAAAATTAAAGGGATAAACGCAAATCTTACATCTCGCGCATGCATATTAACTAAGAGTATGCTGGTCTGATGGGGTATGCTCATCTGATAGAACACCGGCATGGAAGCCTTAATGCATCAGAAAATGGTGACATTTTCTGTCCATCTTTTTAGCGAGCATTGATGACTGCTTTAGTGAAATGTCTTTAAGGTGGGATGGTTTATCAGGCTCTGTGATTCTTGAGTCATTGTGATGCCCTACCATCTTTTCTGTTTCTTCTTTGATGTAAAGTTTTATTGCATATTTTAATTACCTCCTCTGAGGTGTTCTACCACAGATATAAATGGAGCAAAAAGAAATCTAGATTTTTAAGTTTGTTGTGTTTTAGAATACGTCCTTTTATTTTGGCTCAGCCTGCATATGCCGTTGCAGTTCTGTAAGCATTTTGTTATAGCACATTCTGGTGATTTCACCATAACACGTCTGGGTGTCTCACTTAAAAGCTTTGGTTTTCCACCTTCTGCATTCCTTAATATTAGGGCATAAGTTGCCTTTTTAACAATTGAGTTTTGAGTTGTGGTTATCAACACTAACAATTTCTACACTCGATTTATAGAGAAACTAGACCCAAACCATAAACCTTGGTGCCCCAGGCTACTGCCTCTCTACTCTAATTGATGTCAGGCCTATACAGGTTTTGTATTAGAGTTGACGTTTGTTATTTTTGTTCATTGGAGACAAATAATTGTGCAATAAAGCCGTTTTACCCCAGACTTCACCTGAATCCTTTAAACTGCGTGTTTAAGGTGGGAAGAAGCTGCAGTTCCAATCATTATCTATTACAACAGAGCTTTTTACGTCCCATTTAATCCTCTGCGATCCCAGATAAGCAGTCAAATCTACCTTCCAGCGCCAGGAAGCCCCTGTTGTTTGAACAGGTCAGCGGCTGACGTAAAGCTTCTGGCCAATTAGAGATAATTCACTGGAAACTGCATGCAGGTGCCTATTTCCATCAGCACCTGTAATTACACAGGAGCAGGTGGTAACGACTCCCCCGGCCCCAAAGGATGGCACCGCAGCATGGTGTTTGTGTCCATGTTAAAGATGACACACAAAAAAAGATGAACAGTAAAGGGAAAGAAATCATTGGCTGATTAAAGCTTCCTGCTGATGGAAATAAAACATTAACATTAAGTCTCAGACATTGTAGTTCAAAATATATATATAGATTTTTATTAAAATTCAGTAAACTGATTATTGGATGTCTTTACTTAGTATTGTGCTTTTGCAAAATAGATGACTTTCAATCTGATTTGGGGTTTTTGAGAAGATCTGTCATCACATATCCTTCATCAGCCATGTGTGGATTTTTGTTCGGAAAACTAAACCAACTTAGAGAGTATTAGCAGCCTCTAAATGATGATTTATAATCTAACATTTTAGCTTGTAGTAAAATTTATAAGAACAAAAGTTCTGATAGTGAAAGTCCCTGCAAACAGTGCAGGGTGTTTAAATCATGACAATATCCCCAGAGAACTAAAACTTACAGGCCAAAGGGATTTGTTAACAAAAAAAAAAATCTAATTTGAAAAATTATTATTTATAGTTAAAAAAGTGTTAAGTCTTCCGTGGTTCGTTTTAATTGAAGCGCTGTGGGAAAGTTACCCTGGTCTTTATTTGGTAGCCAATCGTCCTCATACAAATGAACAGGGAGAAAAATGGCATCCAACGTTCTTGGAGAGAAATATTTTGTGCATAAGGAACCTATTAAGGTCCAATATTCATCAGGTTTAAATGGTTAAAGGTAAAGTGGAGGATTTTTTGTGAATTGATAAAAAAAAAAAAAAAAAAAATGCACATGCACAACCCTGTACCCGCCCCAGAAAGGGAACACCTATTAAACACGTGCAAGAGCGTGCACAAGCCCATTTCTCCTCATGCACGCCCTGTTTAAAAGTTGCTTTTCTCATAGCTCCTACAAGCTTACTGTGTCAATTTGGTAGTATGATCTGGTGAACTGTAAAGTGCCTCAAGATGACATGTGTTGTGAATTGGCACTATATAAACAAACTGAATTGAGTTGAATTGTCAGACCATCTGCCCTAACCCCTAAATCCCTCAATCACTATATAGAGCCGGGACTATATAGTAACTCAGTTAACTTTCTGTTCTGGCAGATGATCACTACTTTTTGCTTCCCGTTGGTCATGTAACTCCTCCTCCACTCTGGGGGGCCTGCGCCATCTTGTTATTAGTCGCCGCTGTCAATAGTGACAGCCTATGGCGACAGCGGGCCGCTGTGTCAGTAGATACCAGAATGCTTTGCGAGGACAGCTCTTCGCGCAAAGCATTCTGGGATATATCTGCCTCTTCTGAGTCCTTTCCTTTCTTCTTATACACATTTTAGACAATTTTTCGCTTTTGACCCTCTGTCATTTTCAAAGAACCAGGGTTATATGATAACCAACACAAATTAGTCCTATTTTAAAGTAAAGTAACATATGCATTCAATCCCCATGGAGATTTTTTAAAGTCCTATTTTTATGCATGTCTGCAAACCTTTAGTGCTAAGATTCCCCAACATCTACTTATCTAAAGGTAAAATCTTTACCCATTTTTTTTTTAAACTACGTAAGGACCTTTCAGTTTAGTTGGAGGGCGTCTGCTGGCAACAAATCTTAAATCTTGACATAGGTCGTCATTTAATGTACACTGCAAAAACGATCTGAAATTAAGTAAAAATGTCTTAAATCAAGTGTATTTACCCATAATTTGAGCAGGTAATTAAGATAGTTTGCCAATGGATTGAGTATTTTTAGACTTAAAATAAGTCAATTAGATAATATGCACTTGAAATAAGACAATGCCATTCATTTTTCTTGTTGTTTCTGAATTGTCTTGTTCCATTGGCAAAGTGTCTCATTTACCTCCTCAATTCAGGATAAAATGCACTTATTTTAAGAAAAAATGACTTATTTAGATTTACATTTTTTACAGTGTAGGTCTAAACTGGGACGTGCCCTTTCTAACATGCTAACCTGTTTTGATCCAGGCCCTTCCTTACTGGCTGTATGTTTAGGCTGTCCTGCTGAGAGGTCTTCTCACCGCTTCTCTGATTCAAGTCAGTTGAAACCTCTAGCAGGTTTCCCTCCAGAATTGACTGTTTAGTATGTGTTATATTTCCCGGGAACATAAAGTTTAATTTTGGCCTTATATGACCAAAACACCATCTTCCAAGTGTTTGCTGATTCCCCCAAAGCTTTTTGCAAAATGAACCAAGACTCTGACTTTCTTTTTGTTTGTTTTTACAGCAATAAGCTTCCATAAAGGCTCAAGTTAACGAGTGCCGAACTAACAGTTGCTATAGCAACAGATTGCCCTGCACGAGCTTTGGCTCTCTGCATCTCTTCCAGAGTTACTGTCACTTTACATTGTTGGTGTTTTATTAATTTTTTTTTTCATTAACCAAGCTTTAAACCCTTTTAAAAGGAGGAGGGCTACACAAAGTTGCACTATTGATGGGATGAAATAAAATAAATGTTAACTACATTTCCTTATTTAGGAATTTATCTGCACACCATTCCTGTTTCCTTCTTCTTTCTCCAGAACTAGACACCTCTTTAGCTTCCTGATGCCTCCACAGCTACAGATGAAGATTGGAAGGCAAACTATTTAGAACTTCATGCAAAGTAGCTTCAATGAGCCTTAAACTGACCTGAGCAACATAATCCATCACACAAAACAGGAAGTTCTCGTTTCATTGCAGTCCAAATCCTCCTCATGTGAGGCGTAACTGTTTACTAGCATCTTTTACTCAAACTTTTCAAAAAAACATTCTCTACAGCTTTCCCTATTCCATAACACCTCGCAGCTATGTTCTCCTCTTTTTGCAACATGCTGAGATTATACTGCAAGACAAATTTGGTGCTGAGACAATAAAAAAGTGTGTATTTTTTTTAAAGCAACCAGAGCAGCACATCAGGTCAGCCATCTGCACAATCTCTGAGGTGCTCCACTTTTCTTTTTTTTTTGCATTAGACATCTGTGCAAGAGTACACACTGACCCATTTACCAAAAGCACAGGTACACAATTTTATTTTGCTAACTAGGCTTTTTTTTGATGCTCTGCAAACACGTCAAATCAAAGCGTCGTTGCATCACGGTGGTAAGACAGAGTCCACTTGTTTGACCCATAAACCATTTTGAAAAGTTCTATCTTTGAAGCCAAACATGGGGACCAAAAACAAACATTTCCCACAAGTGGAGCACAGAGGGGCCTGCTGTTAACATAGAGTTGTGTGTTTGTGTGTCCAGGGCCAGGAGCATGACTGAGCAGCAGGAGCAGGGTGAAATAAGAGGCCTCCTCTCAGCACACGACCTGGATCCCTCCAAAGACGACGACACACACGGACACTTCAGGCAAATATCGCTCAGAATTTTGCAACTTTCACTGCTTTGACGTGTTTTCTTTTTTTTTCTTTCCTCTGTACACAAACCATCTGTATCCTGTCCATGATCATGGGTTCCAGCCCAGGGAGATTTATTTTCACAGCCTCATTTTGATGTCAAACAATAGCCAAGCGCACACACTGGTACACACAGAGGCTAAAAACAGAGATTTAGAAAGGATATGTTTATTTTCCCTTTTAAAGCCTTTAAAAATCTAAGTTGCATGTGTTTTAACAAAATGAAGACTAAAAAAATGAAGCATTTTAATACACTGCTACATTTATTTTATTTTATTTTTTTTTACTGTCAAACAAAATATTTGTTATATAAGAAGGATTGCAGGCAGAAGCAGATTAATCCTGGGGAATCTGTTCTGGGATGAGATTTGGCTCTGAAGCACATTGTGTTTGTAAACTCAATGAATAAGAGGGAATTTAAAACTTAATGCACATGTTGGTTTTAATCTTGTAGGAGTCTGAGCAGAATGTGCATCCTCTTAATGTGCAGCTTACCTCAGCTCTCATCTTATCTACTCAATGTTTTAACGAGATGTTTATGGTATCAAGCACAGGTGGACCTATTGTGTGTTTTAGTTTATAGCCATATATATTGCAGGTTATACTCTGCAGATTACTTTCTGGAAGTTACAGGCTGCTTTTTGGAAAATAAATGGTCACTTGGATAGAAATTACAAATCAGAGTCTGATAGAAGGTTATTTTCTTTTAGGTTTGTGTGCTGGAAGGTATAACTTCTCACATAACCATGGGCAGTTCTAGACAGGGCCAACGGGGGGCCAGTTTCCCTGTAGAAATTGTCCTGGCCCCCATTATGGCCCCTATACTTAAGATATATTATCTGATAAATTGTCTTATAGAGAAACCGTAACTAAATGGTTCTTTGGATCCATTTCTTTTTTTTTTTATCTTAACAGTTTTATTCCCTCAATAATTTGAAAAGGCATTGCATTTTTAGCTTTAGTTGTATTGAGATTGGATCGCGGCTTTAGGGGTGCACCAGTTATTGTTCTCTGGGCGATAACCAATCTTTAACAAGCCTGACATGTAGAGTTTTGACTGAGGCCAATATTTTATAACAGTTGTTATAAGATTAGAAAACACAGTAAATGTTTATCTGATTTTATTGAACAAAAAAAATTTTGAAACAATGAAATCTCATTTTAACTGCACAAGTTTAGATATGCTGATGAAGGTTCTCTGTCATCCAGGTCATAGTCATTCCGTAAAAATTAAAAAAATATCCACTGGACTTGGTTTCCAAGAATTGAAGACGTTTCGCCACCTCTCCAGGAAGCTTTCTCAATTCAAATGTCTGGATCCGCAGTGAGTTTGAGTCTTATATAGACAAAGCCTTGTATGGCTTGGAAACATGCAATGGTAACCGATGAATGGGTCGTTAGACAGGTTTCAGGTATTACAGGAGACAATCCCCCCCTGAACGGCAGGGTTAGGGTTAGGTTTCAGATATTACAGGCTAACGATGGAACCAAACGACCCATTCATCGGTCATTTAGAGTATTAACATCAGTGGTTATTATCAATTTTACATATTGGTAACGGTCGATCTCACAAAATGAAAATCGTGGCCAATAAATCGGTGCACTCCTACTTTTTGTCTGCTATATCTGGTTATCTCTAGAGTTGCAATTGAATCTGCATCTCACTTAATACATCAATGAAAAAATGCCACTATGTCTACTGCCACTTCACACAACAGATTTATGCTCTTTATATTTCAGAAGTTAAAGGGTATTTTTGAGGACTGGGATAATTTTAGGTAATTCACTATCTAGAACGTTTTCTTTGTAAACATCACTTTCTGTATCTCGACAGGAACTGAAAGTTACAGGCTGCTGCATTCCAAAACTTTCAGGTCCTTGTCTGGAACACTGTGTTAGAATCTAAGATCTAGCTGCATTGTTAGGGGACTTTTAAACTAACACTTATTTAAGATGCATCTTCGATCTTGCAGGGTGCTTCCTAGTAATTATAGCGAGGTTATGTTTAGTTATTGTCAAGTTACTTTTCCAGAATTCATAGGTTACGTTCCAGTACTTGCCTTTATTATGAAATGAGTTTAAAACTTTCTATCAACAGCTTACTGTACAGGTAACTGTCAGGAAGTGGGTTTTATTATGATTTTGTCACCTCATTTCATCCGAAACTTAAAGGGTAACTTACAAAACTTTACAGAATGCGTCTTTGGAATGAACGGTTACATGACTGGACTTTCTTGGTTTGCTTTCTGAGATACTACGGGTTACTTTTTGTAAATTAGCTCTATTTTTGGGCGATTTTGTTGCCTGGTACTATCTGGAACATCCCAACTACCGGTAAGTTATTTTTGGGCACGTATAACTATGAGGTTGCTTTCCAGAACTTACTAAGAGCTTTCTGGAAAATTACCAGCTATATTCTGGATTTTTTAGGTTATTCCACTTAAAATGTATGGATATAAGTAAGTGCTGGGACATAACTGTTTATGAGCTAACTTCTGAGCTTGGATTGGCTGGAACTTACTTACAACTACACCTTTGCTTAATTTTACTACTTAAGTTAGTTTTTATTTTGTCAAACAAATAACGAAAATATCCTAATATTTTTTAGTGATTCTTAAAAAAACAGGATATATATTTCTCTTCATATACATGTCATAATAAAGTGGAACCACATCCATGCTTGGTTTCTTCAAGCTCTGTAAAGTAAACTGTTGGGCCTAGAAGAGAAGAAGAACATTTAGAAATTGTTATCCTTTTTTATAATATTTAATCCTTTCTGCTAAACACAGGTCTGCTTACTCAGATTTCTGTAGATAATCAGCTGCCCCACTTAAAGGTTTATCTGTTTTTTTAACATTCCCACCAGCAGAAAGCTCACACCTCACAGGAAAACACAAAACAAAACAACACCAACAAAAAAAACTACAAACACAAACCTAATCAAGGAAATGTAAACTAACCAGTAGACTGGGCATATTTCATATCAGGTTTGAATAAAACATTAAAGCAGCATCTTAATGCTGAGTTTAAAGATTTAAAAACTCAAACAAAACCAGTTCCTCCATTCAGAAGACAGAGGTTTAGTTAATTCAGCAGTAATTCTTTTCTAATATGCATTTTTATTTTTAATATTAACTACAACATAGTTAACAATATTTCAATTCTTATGCTGTTTTAATCCAGACTATAAAGAAATATTCTTTCTTGCATCAGCGTTTAATAGAAAAGTTTTTTTATTTATGTTGTTTAATGTTCTAAATCTTTCATTTCATAGTTTTTAGGTTACATTTTCTTCTCCTTTTGTCTCAATCCAGTTTTCTTCCTAAACTGACTCAGAGTCTGTAGCTGCATCGGTCACCGATGGGAGGTGTTCACTTTCTAATTTGGGATTTAATTTGGGCTTCTTTGAGCTTGTAATTAGCTCCACCATTCTGCCTCTGAGCCAAGGGCACTGTGATACTGGAGAAGAGGCGCATGCGTATGCACACAAACACAACTGCAGCAGGCAACGTTTTGCTTTGCTCTCAGGGGAAAAGATGCCGGGTCGCATTTTAGCTCCCATTTCTAAACCTCTGCTCCAGGAAGACATAGAGAGTCGCTGTATTATACCTGCAGGGTTAGTGGAGTTCAAATACTCATTGTAAATTAAAAGTAATTTACTTTCCTCATTGTTTTTAATAAATCAAGCAACACATTTGGACTTTTTTTTCTGTTATCAAATCCAAAATTGTGAAGGGAGTTAAACTTTTTCTGCATATCTGTACCAGAATCCCCTAAAACGCCTCATCAGCTCTTCTAAAGGCCCTCCATTGTCCGTGCTGGCGGTATCGATGAGGCGCTGGAGCTCGTGTAAGAGAGACAGATGGAGACAAGAAAGATGGTTGGTCCCCACAGGGCTGCGTGTTTTTAATAATCACTCTCTCTTCTCCACCTGAGAGTGCAGAGACACGGTGCTGCCTATTTATAGGAGGAAACCAGCAGGCAGGAAGAGCAACACACATGCACTATTGTTTACAGCATGGTCACAAGATGAAGAGATGTGTTTTCCAGGAAAGGAGATTTTTTTTTTCTGTTTCTGGGTCAAGCTACGTAAAATAATTAAAAGTGGAAGAGGTTAAACGGAGGGGAGGTTTTAATTCCTCTCATGACCTGATTAATACTCCAAGTTGGTTGGTACTTTAAGTCTATGTTGGCATTTGTAGAAAGTCTGAACTTTCTGCTCCAAACAGCTTCTAAAAGGATTTATATCTAAACTTAGCTGTATGAAAACATCCAGGTTCCCTTCTGTTTTTCATATTTCCAGAAAATATTCTGGAGCATCAAAAGCCTCTTTTAGCAATTACTAGTTTAAGGAGATATTTCCTATGTGACTTCTAATTTTTAGCTTCATACCAGTCAACCATCAGTCAATTATAATGTCTATCAGATCGTTTCTTTGTGCATCTCTACTTATTTACCCCACTACTCTTTGCCAGATTTTACTTTGTTTCTCTAGAAACGCTTTGTTAGAATAGCATCTCCATCAGAACAACCCCTTCACCTTAATTTCAAAGCTTAAAGATTCTGACAAATTATGAAATACATATTTTGAACTATGGGTTTCCATGTATAACTTCTTATATACTGAGGGAAAAATCCTAAAAGTTTAATGTCCACATTAAAGGAAATGCATCTGTTCATATCCTTAATACGAGTTAGTTTTAATAGCTTTTCTCATTTAGCAACCCAATGTTTAACAGTCAGATCTCAGATGATTTAATGATGGATTGGACATGACAGCACCACACCATGACATAGATGCTGGGAATGTGTGTTTAGGTATGAGTGTACAGTATGTAGATATATGTGTGTATCACTGCTGTGTTTAACAGTATTACTTTGAATTTGTGCATGTTTTGTTTTTTGGAGGTTCCAAACAAGTCAGGGTGGAGTTTTGCCACTTCGAGCACTTGATTTTTCTTTTTTTAACTTCATTTTTGATTAAAAAAAAAGTGATAAGATGAATGTTTCACATTGAATTTTTCATGAACTAGTTGTGACCCAGCTTTAGCTTTCAGACAGACTGATAAAAAATAAAAAATAAATGTAATCAGGTTTAATAGATGTATAGATAATTCCAAGTCCCTGATTGAATTAAAGAGAGTGAAACAAGTCCACCTGTAAAAAATAAAAATGCTATTAACACTGAAAGCAACAATCTCCCTAATCGTTATAGTATTTTCCTGTTTTTAATAAGTGCTACATATCAGACAGTAACTTCCATTTGATCAGGACAAGGCAGCACCAACCCCCTCATATCTATATTCTATCTATGGGGGTATTTGACACCTGAAAGTGCCGTCTGATGTAGGAGTTTGCCCTGAAATCGAGGGGTTGACGGTTCAAGCCCTGGCTCCGGCTTTCAGTGTTGTGTCCTTGGGCAGTGAGCCCCAGCACAGCTGTGGCTACAATGTAGTTTGCCACCATCAGTATGTGTGTGTGAATGAATGAACGTAATGTAAAGTGCTTTGGTCAAGTCTCCTCACTTGAAAAAGCGGCATTTACCTGTTCTGCATTTGCTCATAACGTGACATTTATCAGCTAAATCTTCTTATGTGTAAAGATCAGTTCATCTGAATGAAAGCTTAAATTGACTAAGATGAAATGAAAATCGTTCCTTAATACATTTGGAATACATAATGATGCTTTTTACCATGCCTCTATGGAAAGACTAGCTGTCTAATGAGTGAAACATTGGGTTTAGCTTTAGGTTCCTCCTCCGTTGTTCCCCTGAGCAAGGCACCTTACCCTTAGTTGGCCACTGATCTTCCTATCAGAGTGAGTGTAACTGGATGTTATGTTTTTTTCTTCACCCTTCTTCCTTCCTTCCTTCCTTCCTTCCTTCCTTCCTTCCTTCCTTCTAATGCTTGTTTATGTGGTGTTTTTGTAGCCACAATAATGTGGACTTGTACTTCTGACTGCTTTCAGCTATCAAAGCCACCTTCCTGCTTTTCATTTGGAAACCTTTCAACCAGCGATAGCAGCGAATGCATATAGCTGCACTGTTATCTGTGCATCCTCCAGGAGCAGGGTTTCATATCAGGGCAGCATTACATCTCCCCAAGCTCCCTGACAGTCACCAAACACTCAGTGAGATACTGCATGAAAGAGGCATGTGTTTCTTTCTCTCTATGTAAATACCTTCACATATTCAGTCTTTATTTGGTCCATACCTGCCACCATCCTCCCAAAAATACCTGAACGCAGCAGTTTGGTGACATTTTCCTTCATGGATTGATTATGCTGCATTTTATTTGCTGGGTTGTATTTTCTGCCTTGGAAACAGATTTATGAGCATCATGCTGGGACATCTGCTGCTCTGCTCGGACTACTCCTCTGGAGGCGGTTTGAAGTGAAACGCATGCTATTAAAAGAGTGACACAGATAATCTCCTGGCTTGGCTACAATACAAGTTTGAGCTGCTCAGTATTTATATCTAATGCCGTTTAGTGCCAACTGTTATTTCTGGATTCATGTGCAATGAACCAAGCTACATTAGAAGCAATAAATGTATGCATACTGTAAATGTTGCCTATTTATGCACTAATTTAACAAATGTGCATGAGTATATTTATGTTTACTTTATGTAATTTTGTCTTGCCTCTTTAATGAATAGTGATTCACATGTTTCACAGTTTTTAATATTTTTTTTTGCTTTTTTTATACCCCACAGGTTTCAGCTGATTGAAGAGCTTTCATATGAAGATGTGAAGAAATGTTACAGGGGATCGGTGAGTTATGTGTTTCATCCCTACTGAACTTCAGCTGGTGTGTAGCAAAGATGTAATATTAGCTGATCGTAGTACGATAGGGCTTCAAAAGTTTACTTACTTCTGCACATTTCTGAGAATGTAGCTGAAATTGCAAAGCTGTTTAAGAAAAAATAGCCTCTTATTGGATTTGTTAAGTTTTTGTGCCATTTTAATTTGTCAGATCATCCAACAAAGCATAAGTAAATTACATTTTGATTTCAAAAATTGAGGAAACAAGGTTTTTCATACTAGCATGGCTCCATATGAAAAAGTAACTGCCACCTTTTTAAATCAGGACATTTATTTTGGAAAACTGCGCTCAATTTCCCTCACCTCACTGTGGTCTGGCTATTACCTTACCTCTTGATTCGATGAATGATGTTAAAAGGACCTATCTGACAGGATGAAGTAGGCTAAACAATCTAAAAAGACAACAAATCTAAACACAAAAAGCTGAAAAAGGTAAATGACATTCATCAGTCTGAAAAGAGTCTCTAAAACTTTTTTTTTAAGTTTTGGCACTCCAACAAGCTACAGTATTAGCCAGTGTCCGACCACTGCTGACCTACAGAAACACAAAGTATGCCTCAAATTTGCCTCCAAACATCTTGACACATAAGACTTTTGAAAAAAACATGGCGGCCTCAGAAGGATACAGGTGGACAAAGTTGTAGCAGAGATCCTGCAGGTTGGAGGTGAAGAAGGCATGGCGATGGATGAGATCTGTTGGAGTTTTAGGGAGGAAAAATGTTCAGTTTTCAATTTCTCTGTGTTAGAGAAACTGACAGATAGTAGCAGGGCGGGTGTACCTGCTCAGAGGGATGAAGGACAGAGTGAGTGTATGTGTGTGAAGGAAAGAGGAGTGGGAGGGAGGAGAAGTGTAGAGTCACTGAAGGTTTATTTGAGACAGAAGGGAACCTTGTGGTTGAGAAGGAGCTGAGAGGCTGTAAGATGAGACATAGTGGCTGTTAGTCTGTAGAGTAGGTGTATGTGTTTGTGTGTTTTAGCTGCATTAGAGCTAGATGTTTACCGTAGCACGTGCATGTTTAGTAGATGAAACCTCAGCCCAGCACTGACCAGCGACAGGGGGAACAGTGTGTGTCTTGCAGCGGTTTGCTCCAGGCCTTGGATGTGCGAGAGTGTGTGTGTGAGTACGGTGCCAACGTGCTGAGCCTGGTGCAGAGCCCCCGTCCTCTGTGGGAGAGGATGGTGTCTGCGCAGAGCGGAGTCGGAGGGGCCGGTGGCCGATGCGGCGGTGAAGGTGGAGGGGACGGCGGGGCCGGCACTGTGCAGACAGGCCGGTCCGCCAAGGAGCTGCTCATGACTCTGCCCTGTCCCTCTGCACAGACTGTCAGCAAGTACAACTCGCAGTACCACAAACTGTTCGCATGCGTCCCCAAGGATGAGATCCTCATGAAAGGTACTTTTATTTCTTCTTTTCATGATGTGTTTATTACCTGGGATAATATGAACTTATACTGTACTAAACAAATAAGGATTTTAAGTGTGTATAGTAGGAGTTATTGTATATTTTTGCTGTGAAATATCAGGGAAATAAATATAATCATATTTAATGTAGTAAAAACATGTTCACTGAAAACGGGACCATTTTAGCTTCTGCTGTTGCTCCATCATAATCAACTCATTTACAGCTAGAGATAAACCGATCAGAGATATTTAGCCCATTTTTAATATCCGATTTACAAAGCTCTGACCTACAGATTTGATCTTTCTGCTGTCAACATATTTATTCTTTACAATGAGATGTTTATAGCAGAATAAGGATTAAACAGGATTAATAAATTCCCTTATTTGCATAAGTCCTACTTCCTGTTTATCTGCCTAAATTAACATGCTCTGTCCCTCTGTGCAAAATATAGTTTCCTCTAGAAGCTTCTGATACCTTCATTGCTTCTTTTAACATTATTTTTTCTCATCGCGTTGATGCTGAAATGGCCCAACTCTGTCCTCTTCACTCTGTCACAACATCTACACTGAATGTAGCAATCTGGTAGCATTATGGTGATTTTTTTGGTCCATCTCTAGTTATTTCTGCAGGACCAAAGCTAACTGTGAACAAGTTGATGGGATTTTTTTGCAGTAGTTTTACTTATTTCTCAAATAGCGAATATAACTCTTTCTGTCTTCATTATTCTATAAAAGTGAATAGATAAAAGTTTTCAACTTTTAGTTTGGTTATAAACAGCTTCACTGTTTATAACCAAAATAAAAGTCTGATCTGGAGGATCACGATTAATGAGAACATCACTAATCCACTGATGCAATCTCTGGGTTTCATGTTTATATACTGCTAATAAAATTTCATATTTGGATTCTGTTGCAACCTGTTTTAAAAAGAAAATGAAAATACGTTTTTCAGTTGTTTTCTTGGCGCTGGTAGCCTTTATGTAACTGTTTACAGACGAGATACAGAGCAGGGGGAGACGTGCAGCAGTCAAACAGGAGTGCTGTTTTATTGTCTGCTGGTCAGAGATTGTTATTGTAAAATAAATATTTTGTCTGAGAGTTATCTTTAGCAGACAGAAGGTGGCAAAGAAACGTTATTTTCACAAGGCATTGGGACATTTTTGAACTGGACTTATTTTGAAAGTCAATCTACTGCAAAAGTCAGACGTATCCAGATGAATTAACATCTGCAACTAATATATTTTGGCTGTTTCAGTCCAGTCCATAAGTCCATCAATGTTCAGGAAATGCTCCACTGGGACGGCACAATAATAGCTTTATCTTCTATAATCAGCATTTTTAACCAAGAGGAACTCAAAGTGGTGCAACTTAGATACCAACAACCAATGAGAATGTTATGATAATCATGCTTAATATTATAGGTATAGTGGAGGATTTTCGTGAATTTTTGAAAAGACCTAACCTCTCCACTTAAAAAACAAAATGCACATGATCCTCGAGGATGTTTGAGTACGCAATGATGACTGTCACTCGGATGGATCTCATCTCACCCATATTTATATATAAAATGTTTCCCTGCAAATAAGACTACTGCTACATAAAAAATCATGACATGCTTGTATCTGTGTGCTGCAGTGAAAATGTGGACATGTTTGCAGAGTAGATATGGATCTTTGGCCACCGTACAACTACTAACGATGCAAATTACAAACTGAATAAACTCATTTCCTGGAAAGTTACAATATAAAGGGAAATAAATTTTACTTTGCAGTAGGGTTGTCAAAAGTATCGATACTCAAAAAAGTATCGATACTGAAACGTTGTATCCGGATACAATACTCGTTTTTAAAAGTATCGATACAGTGCCACCACTAGTGGCACCTAAGCAGTCATTCATCTAAAGTGCAGAATAGAGGACATTGCACATTCAGAACACTGTGTGATTGAATAATTCTGTGCTCTTTTCAGTATCAGACTTTTGTTTTGTAACAGGTGCAGCTGCTGGGAATGATTTTTATTTCTTAACCGGTTTGGCTAGTGTCATTGTTATGTGTGCAAAGCATAGCCAAGGAAGGAACACTTAATTTTAATTTTATAAGTTTTTTATCAAGCTTGCTTAATATTGTGCACAGCATACAACCCCTTTATTGTATTTATTTATTGTATTTTATTTAGTAATGAAAATATTTCGGTAGAATTTTGAAGTCTTTGTTTTTATCCTTGTGGTATCGAAAATGGTATCGAGTATCAAATATTTTCCTTAGTATCGGTATCGAGTTGAAAAGTTTAGTATCGTGACAACCCTACTTTGCAGTAATATGAAATGAATTTCCACTAACAGCATGCCAAACTTTACCTGTCGAGTAGAAACTGCAAGCGAGGCATCAGTGGGAAGACACTCTGGTCTTGTTTCTCTCTTCTGAGGCATTTCTCTTCTTCTCATACACTTTTTCTCTTATGACCCTCGGCCATTTTCAAAGAACCATAGTGAGAAAGTCAAGATTCAATGACTGTCAGAAAAAGACAGCTAAATGGGGACGAGCACATAAGATAGCCTTACGTAAACATACCACCAGAATGAGTAAAAACGAGCGGGAACCACTTAGTTTGATGATCTGCACGGAAAAAAGTAAAATCCTCCTCTATACCTTTGATATCGGCATCCTCAATCCTCTAGGGTGGAAACTGACCCAATTTACTGCAAACATTTTAGTGTGAAGTCCACCAGCTTAGGAATGTTGGTAATAATGATCACCTTCAATCCGAGCTTCTTCTAAGTGGAAGTAGGCCCCCTTTTATACTCGTCTCCAATATTGTATATTTCAGCTGTCTGTTGTGACGAGTAAGCTGAGGTTTCAAATAGTTGTTATTCATTGGCTATGGTCAACTCCAGAAAGCTTTAGTAAGCAGTGTCCAGATGATGATCCACCAAAGCAAATGAATAACTACCACAGGAATTCAGTAAAGGTTGCAGACATGTGAAGTTACTGAAATATAAGTGCAAGAAATTTATTATCAAAAACAAGTTAATTAGTGAGATGTTTTTAACTACTTACATTCCAACAATCCCCTTTATTGACTGACCTTTCAGACACTTAGATGGGTATGGGGCATTGCAGGCTAACAAAAGAAGCCAAACGACCCCCATTCAAAATGGGTGCACCCCTTCATCTGTTCCAATTTGCATGTTTTCAAAACAAAAACAGGGCTTTGTTGGGCTACTGTATAAAACCTCAAACTCAACGCTATTACTGATATTTTGAATTGAAAAGCTTCCTGGATGGGAAGCGAAA